ACATCGGGGAAACCAAGCGGAGACTCGGGGACCGCTTTGCAGAACACCTATGCTCGGTTCGCAATAAACAACTGCACCTCCCAGTCGCGAACCATTTCAACTCCCCCTCCCATTCCTCAGACGACATGTCCATCCTGGGCCTCCTGCAGTGCCACAACCATGCCACCCGAAGGTTGCAGGAACAGCAACTCATATTCCGCTTGGGAACCCTGCAGCCCAATGGTATCAATGTGGATTTCACAAGTTTCAAAATCTCCCCTCCCCCGACCGCATCCCAACACCGGCCCAGCTCGTCCCCGCCTCCCTAACCTGTCCTTCCTCCCACCTATCCACTCCTCCCACCTCAAGCCCCACCCCCATCTCCTAACTACTAGCCTCATCCCGCCTCCTTGACCTGTCCCCTCCCTAACTCCCCACCTACGTTCACCTTTACTGGCTCCACCCCCCGCCTCTTTGACCCGTCTGTCTCCTCTTCACCTATCTTCTCCGTTAGCCATCTTCTATCCGCCTCCCCCTCTCTCCCTATTTATTTCAGAATCCCCTTCCCCTCCTCCATTTCTGAAGAAGGGTCCAGACCAGAAGCTTTCCTGCTCCTCTGATGCTGCTTGGCCCGCTGCGTTCATCCAGCTCTACACCTTGTTATCTCAGATTCTCCAGCATCGGCAGTTCCCACTATCTCTTAGATAAAAATGTCTATTCCTATATCATAATTGATGGCTGTAACTCCTTGAAATTCATCTCTCATCACTTAGGATGAAGCTATGGCAGTCACATTGCTTAGCATCTGGTTCACCAAGAAGAATCAATATTTTATGGAGGAAAAACTTTAAAAAATTTTGTCATGACAGGAAATCTTTGCTTTGTTAGAAATCTACAAAGAGCGACACCTCAAGTTGAAACAAAAACAAAGTTGTAAGCTCAGCAGGTCTGGCAGCATCTGTGAAGGAAAAAACAGAGTTAACGTTTCCGGTCCGGTGACCGTTTCTCAGAACTCAAGAACTGAATTAAGGAGTTCTGAGGAAGGGTCATCAGACCTGAAACGTTAACTGTTTTTTCCTTCACAGATGCTGCCAGACCTGCTAAGCTTTTCCAGCAACTTTGTTTTTGTCCCCCAGACTTGTGTTTTCGTTTCATAATGAGTCACAATCACCAGTATGTCACAAATATCAAAAGCTGCAATACCAAACAGAGATGACCAGATAGCCTGACAGCCACGAGTATTTTTAAGTTTATGATCCACATGTACAAGTTGCTGGCAATTACAAAAAGACCTGTTTGAAACATTTCACACAAAAATCTCTCCAATTTCACAACAGACCATTTCCAAAAACGTTATCACTTTCACTGACTAAGCTATTAAGCCTAGGCATTAAATACAGACAGGAGCACCCACACTCTCAAAATATTGAAACGTTAAGTGTGCAGGAACTCCAAGAAAGTACAAAAATTTTCATACACGTGAGCCACACTTTACTTCATGCAGTGTAAACTGGCTCCTCTGGGAACATCTCAGTGTTCTCCATGAAATACGCACACCCCACATATTTCACTTGCTTCCAGAATACAAACCTGATACCAACTGTACTTTCTTGGTTCCAGAAGTACTGTCTCCAGAAGCACAAACTGAATTAAAGTGCACAATGTTATTAATAAAACATTGCTGCATATTCTACATCATTTCTGCAATGAACAGAGTTCATTTGCATGTTTTTTTTCAATTGTATACAACTTGACTATCTGACATCGCAGTTATTAAATCTATGATAAATACAAAATTTCACAATATTCATACTGTTGTCATACTTTTAAATGCCTTCAAACACTGCAGAAGATTCAAATAACACTAAATCATATATTTAACATATTAACATTTTTAAATTGTTAAATGTAACTGACTAGTTAGTTAAAAAGATCCACAAAGTAATTGATATTCAAAGGGCTATAAGCCACAAGCTTTGCTCTTCAAATTCACACATTTGATTTAGATGGTATGCCTGTAAATCTGTTAAATGTTCAATGCAATATATTCCAATGATATCGTGGCCCAAAGACAAATCTAATCCTTTAGAAATTACATTCTAAGTAGACATATTATAAGAAAAACATCAATGAACACACAACTCAAATAATCTCATTTCAGAATCTAAACAATTCTAAAAACGTTCCAGTTCCCAACTAAGGGAGTCCCCTAAAAATTTCAATTTGACTATTTTCCAAATCAAATCACAAATTCAAATATGTAGTCCTCGGCATTAGAATAGGTGATTCAATAAACTTGTACATTCTTTAACAGGTCAAATATCCAATGCATCCTATCCATGCATTATCAATAAGACGCCAAATTTGTTATGCAAAGTTCTAACTCAGGAAAGATATTTAAAGTTTTGGCAAAGATCTGTAGCTCGGGTTGTGGGTGAGGTTGTTGACTTGCTCGCTGAGCTGGCTTGTTCTCGTGCAGATATTTCGTCACAGGTGCTAGGTGACATTATCAGTGAGGCCTCCAATAAAGCTTCCTGATGTTACCGAGCATGGTGGCGAAACGTCTGAACAAGAACAAGCCAGCTTGGCGAGCAAGTCAACAACCTCAGGAAAGATATTCCCATTCCTTCATTTTTGCTGCATCAAAATCCTGCAATATCCCATCGAACACCATCGATGGAGCATCACATCCACATGGTCTGCATTGGTCCAAATAAGATGTGACCCACAACAACCTTCAGAGCAACTTGGGTTCAATGAGTGCCGCTTTACCAGCATTACTCTTACCCTATAAACAAATAATGGAACAAAAAGAGAAGGGAAAAATTACAGGCTAAAATTTTCCATTTGCAGTAATGAGGAGCCACGCATGCAAACAGCGGTATATTGGAAAATTACAAGCAGTGTTTGCAATTTTCCATCTCTTGAAATCATTGCATGGAGAATTAAGGGAACAATGTTGTGAGCTGAATATATTCTCATTTTGGGACTTTGGATGATGGTCATAAACCACCCAGCTGTCCATTTCACTTTTACACCTCAATAAAACATTGTTGTCAAAAACGCATATTGAAATTAAATGAGGAATTTGTGGAAAATTATCTTCCCTACACAGAAGACATAACCAAACAGGAAAGAAGTGACAATATAATAACAAAATCCATCAAGTTATCCTGAACTGATCTCTGGGGCAGCTTGGACTTGAACCCATTCCTTCTGGCCCACAAGTAACAACGTAATCTCAAGGGATGACTCCATGTGTGTTTGGAAGAATACTAGTTGATGTGCTTAGCAGTTAATTACTTGTGACACAGGTGACACACAGCTCTTCGTGCACAACATAAGGCTGACAAGCCAGCTACTAGCAGGGCAGGGTGTCCAGCGAGTGTTATACAGCAAGTATTTCCTAAATCAACTGATTCAGAGATGTTCCTCTACGAAGCAGGTGGGATTAGAATTTGGGCTCCAAGCTCTGAGATAGGAACACCACCGCTATCCCACAAGAGCCCTTTCAGATTCCATAAGAGCGGAGCGCCGCTCCCGGGCCGACACGTGCGAGGTGAGTTAAGTTTTTCAATGTTTGAATTTGAACTGTCCCAGCCCGCGCGCTCAACGGTAACCGCCCCTCGGGTATTTTAAACGGGCTCGCAGGATTCCACAACTGGAACCCGCCAGCAGCACCTGGGCCTCGTGCTTTCAGCCCCGCCCCAGCCTCGTGCCCACTCAGCTCCATACTGCCCCTGTCGGTGAAGCCCGCATGCGTGTGTGTGTGTATATATATGTGTGTGTGTGTGCGCGCGCCCGCCTGCGCGCTGGTTCCACTCTCCGAGCCTCCCCCCCGCCACCACCTCCTCGGCTCGAGCCTGCTCCAACTGAACTGGGCGCCAGCGGATCGTACACGCGGAAAAGTCCATTGGTGCGAACGTTCCCGCTCCCCCCCGCCAACCTCCTTCTTCAAAACCAACATTTAACATGTAGATTTTTCTCTCTCCTTTTAAAAAAAATTATTTAAAAAAAAAAAGAGTCCGTCACGGCAAAGCTCACCTTTAACAGCCCGAGGCTTAGACTGTTTGCGTCTGGACATGTCCAGTCCTTCACTCCGCTGGAAGAATCTGTTCTCTGGGCGCTGCTGTCCGGGGCAGGGACTGGAGCTCCGAACATCAATCTTTGCTCCGTGCTCTCTCTCTCTCTCCCTCCTCCTGCCCGTTGCAATGCGGCAACTTCAACCTCTCGGAGTGGACTACGTGTGACGTCTCCTTCCTACTTTTTTTGTTCGCGGTGGTGCTAAAACTAGATTTCAGTGAAGTGATGATTCTTTAAAAGATTTTTTTTTTGGTTTCTGTGCTTTTTTTAAAAAAAAAAAGAAAAATCTCCCCTCTCCCTCTTATTTTTTTCCTTTCCTCTTCTGTCTCCCAACACACACCAACTTCTTTGCAACTGGTGGATTTGGATGCGGGGTCCAGCCAGTCCACGCGAAGACAAGAAGTGATTATTTACGGGGGAGTTGAGGGGTGGGGAGGAGGAGGAAAGACGGACGGAGGGAGGGGGTTCTCTGTTTTTTTTCTCCTTTTTCCCCCCCCCTTTGAAATAAACTCGATGTTGTCAAAAAAAAGTGTGCCGCTGCTCCTTTTATTTCGGTCTATTGTTGCACGAAATCCACTTGCATTAACCTCCACCTTCCTTCCGTGCAAACCTTACAACACCACCAACCTTCCCCCCCAACCCCCCCCCCCCCCCCCCTTCTTCCCAAGTCAACGGCGACCTCAATGACTAAAATTCTCAGCAAGAAGCGGGGCGGGGGGCGTGCGTGCAAAAAAAAGTGGAGAGGAAAGGAAAAAAAGCAAAACAAAAAACCCGTCGATCTGACGCTTTAACTCTCTGCACAACAACAATAATAAACTTGGCGGATTTTTAAACGTGTGTGTGTGGAGGAAGGGATCACCTGTTTAGCCAGAAATCTAAAGAGGGTACGAGGCGCCCCTTGTTTATCCTGCCCGGAGAGTGTCCCGATCTTCCTCCGTTAGTCGCACACATAGAAAGAGCGGGGCTGTCTGTCCGAGTGTGCGGGGGATGCTCACCGACGGGGGGCCGGCGAGCGGGACCAGCTTGGTGCCATGACCGCCGTCCGGCTGGCTGGCTCGGCAGCAGAGCCAGCTCTTTGTGCCGCTGCCGCCGCCGCTGCTGCTGCTGGAAGCGGAGCTGGCTGCTGAGGAACTGCGTTAGCGCGCAGTGCAGACACATAATAAGCTGGGAAATTCAAGTAAGGCCCAAACCCATCAGGACCTCTCCACGGGGGAGCTTTCCCGCAGGGAGACGCGCCACACGTAATCACGGAGGAAATCGCTGTCCAAGTGCAGAGCACGCATGGTGAATAATGAAAAAATCCTGAGTGCGCGATCGTGCCAAAAGCATGGAGCCCTGGACAAGCTTGGAGCGGACTGCAACACACACACACAATAAATACCTCCCTAACACTGCCTCCTCTCACTCACAGATATACACATCTAACTAAAACACCGCGAACGCCTCCAAATGCAAATTCAGCCTCTCGAATCCTGCACCCTTTCTACCGACTTTAATTCTATTTCTTTTAAAGAAATAATCATATATACTGCACGCCACTCAGAACGGAACAACTGCATCTAACTCATACAGAGATCCCGAAAGAAACTAATTAGTTTCGCGCAGCACTGACAGAGAGGGGGGAAAAAATCATTTACGGTGGGGGGAAAGGGGCGTCAGTTGTTCCAAACCTATGCAACTTAACAGTCTCCCTTCAACTCCGTAGTTTTATACGGGAAAGGCGATTTTGAATTGCGACACACGGGTCACATTGATATTTTTTAAAAATAGGCTAAAATTAAAACAGAAAGCAACGCACCCCCCGCCCCAGAAAAATGATATTAAAAACGGTAATGACAGTGGAAGGCACCAGACTCTTGGCCATTTAAGCAAGTCGCTCCAGCTGAACCACAAACTGCTTTAATGTTGCCATTACTACACATCTCCTTTGATTCGCAGAAGCAATCTCGCATTCACAGTTTTTAATAACCTAATTCCTACCGAACAATGGAAATTCTTTAGCTTCCAGCACGTAACTCCCTGCAGGGCACAGTGAATTTCAAAAATATCCGTAATGATACGGTGGAATTAAAAGGGTATTAGTGTTAGTAATTCGTTTACATCTAATTATAAACTGATGGAATTATGCCTATGTGGCTAACAAATATAATCGGTTTGAATTTATTTGTGTGGATGTGTATGTGTTTGCTCAGACGTGGTTAGAGACCACCTCTGTGTGATTTTAAATACAATTTTGAGGTAAGAGTTGGAGGGGAGTTAGCAGATGAGCAAGAGACAGGCTGGAAACCTGTTCTGAAAATCTGTGGATGCTATCAGCCTCATAAATACAATAAGCCGGGGAGGGGGGGAATAAAATTTTTTTTCAATAGTGAGGTGTGTATTTTATCTGTTTATCCAGCATAAATGACACAAGTGATCCTCCAACCAAGTCCAGAGTGACAACAAGAAATGCAGTAAGTCATAAAATTGTGTTTTTTTTAAATTTAGTGGTTCTATGATCTGACTTCACCCCCAGGGGCTAATGCAGAGCTGTAAATAGTTTTTGTTCTTGCATTCTGTGCAATGTCGAGTTGAATGGGTCGTACCTTTCGCTGCTACTTGTCTCTTGTCTGTTCAGGTAGCTTGCGCCCTCTTCCGGAGCTCAAACTAAAGTTTGCAATCGTTCTGCTCCTGGAAAAGAATTCAAAATTAGTACAATGCTGTTGGACATACAAGGAAAATATTTTAACATGCCAAACATTTATTTTTGTCCCAGCACTTCTTTAAAAAGTAGCACCGCCAAAATGACACCAGAATTTAAAGGGGTAATTTTCTTTCTTTGTTAGCTAACAAAAGCAAAATTACAGAGTCCCAGAATCTGGAGAAACATCAAAAGTTAAATACAAAATCCCGAAAGAAGGAATAAATGAGAACCTTGGACAGACGAACAGGATCAATGCAACTCTTTATGTAAGTGCTTTCTGTTACGCAATTTATTTCGAATCTCTTAGTCATAAAATAATTTCCAGCACCATTGGATTTATTTCTGCTGCAAATTACGTTTTAAAGGCAGTTTTATCTTTCAGGAAATCCTTTAAATGTACTGTTGTTTCATATTGAACAACAAACTCATATTGGTCAAAATAACAGCGCGCTGATTAAAAAGAGAAACTTTAAGTATTCACTGTTGCACTCACTTTATTTTCAAATTTACGAAATGTTTACACTGAGCGCCACATCCATAAACTTGAAACATTTCGACACGGCGTGAGCAAAACGTAAATACATTTGGAAACAATCGATTCAAACTACGAAAATAACACCACATGTTGTGAGCTTCAATAAACACGTAGGAGCAGTACACCGGGGAAATTGTTACTCGTCTCTTATCTGTTTAATACTTTTCTAATAAACAAAACGTGTTTTGTTCAAATAATAAATGGCTGGAGGAGCATTACGTTTAATTCTTTAACTTAAATCCAAGATTAGAAACCGGCTGTGATTGTTGAACTTGACAATTCTCAAGCAGTTAATGCCTAAACCCGATACACATCCTGAAAGTTTCATTACAATTGTACTTTAAAAGCGTGCTTTAAAAAGCATTTTGGTGGTATTGCAAAATGTTTATGAAATCGGACCAAAGGTTTACTCCGTTCTTTTAAAATATCCAAATCAGCAGTTCCTCTTGCTGTTTTTTGTCCTGCTCATTAGATATAAGCCAAAAGTCAATGGAATTCGGTAACACCAGATAAATTGTGTGCAATCATTTCGATAAAGGACTGATGTTTGTAGTGTGGTAAGAATGTATCTGTGAATTAGGAAGGTAATATAATCGTTGTGTGTCATTTCGCTTATTATAAAACATCAAATGCAGTCAAGGAATGTTCTTTCTTACGTCGTTAAATAGGGCTTGGACGGTGGACAGTTACCTATCCGCACAGGTACCCATTCAAGTTCGGTTGTTGGAGTGTTTATTCGATGTACATATTTATAGAATGAAATATGCATTTTAATTAATTTAATAGGTACTTTGCGCCTTTTTCACATAAAATGAATTCTCTTTAGCACTTGCTGTGTTTTGTAAGAAAGAACTACAATCAGGCTAGAGGGTCGCTACATATGAATCGGGACTCCTTCGACTATAATAGCTGAAAATGTTACAAAATATCCAACTTAATATAATCTTCGATGAAACTAGGGCAATCCTCTCAGATAATCTTTGAAAATGTTGTACCTTTTTCTTTAAAAAGCTTGTGCAATCGAGAGTTAAAGCAGATGAAGCATCTTTTTCAATTACTAATACAGTTCATTAAAATTGTGTGTCTGATGATGATAATTGTTATATTCAAGTACTGGCAGCTGTGTAAACACTAGAGAGACAAGCCTGGAAAATATCAAAATTATTCAAGAATTCTATAGATATTTTCATATACTTTTAGGGAATGTTGCCTCATCCTCAGATGGCAAAATAATATTGTCACTTTGACTTTTTTGACTTCAAAAGGAATATTGAACTTGACTTATTGCGTACATTAAGTTTATTATTAACGTGAATAGTTCAAAGAAGAACATTATAACTAAGGCAAACTCCATATCTGTATCACAAAAAAAACTTCAAATACCTAAAATATATTACTGGTAAAACACTTCTTTAATTTTAGACCAGTTTTAGATCTGTTTTTATTAAATATAGATCATTTATAATTTTATTTATGCATTTATATTGTGTGCTTAAAGCAGCAAAATATTCAAGAGCCTCACAAGAATACAACCAAGATGCAAGCAGGAAATATCAGGACAGGTGATCAAAGACTTGGTTAAAATTTAAGCCAGAACCAACAGTAAAATACTGCAGATGCTGGAAATCTGAATTTAAAATTGATAATGCTAGGACAAGCTTGGCAGATCTGACAGTGTCTGTGAGAGAGGAACAGAATTTACGGACAGAATCTTATAGGGGTCTGAGTGTTGCGGGCTATTGCAAGATTTATGGCAGAATTGGGCAAGAAGTCCAGAGAGGCTTATCTCAATGTCGGGAGCATCTTGCTCCACCTTTTACGTTTTAGCTGTGCAGTACGGCAAGTTACTTGCTAGGCACAGGCGAGTTGCCAATTAAAGGGGATTAACACTTGTCAATCCTTATCAATGTCCCAACTTGCCTCATTATTATTCAGCTTTCTATCTACCAAACATGCTGAATAAGATAATGTTGCAAAAACTGAACAGGGAGGTCAGAGCGGGTACCTAGCAATCTCAGCTCGGCACTTGCTCCAAAGGATCTCCATGTCGGATGCATGCAGCAACATCTCAGGGCACACTCCATGGGCACCAACCATACACCCCCATATCTACAGACATTACCACCTAACATGTGCCAGCCTCTAGAAACCCTCATTGCACATCTCCAAACTACCTACAAGATGCTTTTGCACTTTAGGCTGCACTGGTAACTATCTTTGCAATGCTGCTGCAAGAATGTTATGCACTCAGGCCATGTACTCAGCTCATAGACTGGATTAATCTGCATTTCTGGGCTATTTGATCACTGTCACAGTGCTCACTCACTCTGTGCCGACCTGGATACTCGCTTCATCCTGCCTCGCCTTTGTGCACTTTTCCCCTTCAGCTGGAGATACCAGGCTTATACTACTTCTGTCTTGCCTTGCTGTTTAGCGCAGAAACATAGGCAGGAAGCTTGTGATGGTTGTCAGCATGCCTCAGTCAAGTCATGGGAGATTTCCTTCCCTTAGGGGGTCCTGGCACAGTAAATCAAAGGCAGCTTCTAATACCAGTCCAGTGGTTTGGACATGGTCAGTCAGTTGCTTGAGGTGCTCAGAGTCAAAATGCTCTTCACATAGGGGGTGAAGACCCAAATCTCTAGCAGCTCACCACCTGTTTTGACTCTTTCTACCTTATTGTGGGCTGTTTTCCTCCTGAAATAAGAAAGCAGCAGGTATTGGGGCAGGTGAGTAGGCAGCATATAGGACTTGCAGGGCTAGTGATGTTGGGGTTGCTGTGCATGAGGGTAAGTGAGGGAAGATGTTGCAGGGAATAGCAAATGGTTATACTGGTGGAATGGAGAAGGAAAATGACCTTCTTCCTTGGGCGTTCATCCAGATGGCTAAGACTGCTTTAACCCAGCTGGCAACCTCAGTCCAAGCTGGCATGGACTTGCTGCTTATCTTCCACTGCTAGTTCTGGGGGATGAGGAAGACCTGAATTTACATCAGCAAGAGCTCCAGGTCCTTGCCCACAAAGCAGGTTACCAATTTCCCCCTGACTGCCATGTCTGGGGTAAATGTTAGGAACCCTGCAGGGCAGCTCTGGACTAACAGT